ATTTGTTTAACACAAAGCGCCTGAGTTATTACTCTTTCACCAAAGGTGGGCCAGAGAACAAAGAATTCATGGGCCTTTAAATCTACCACTCAGGTATATTCTTGCACTATCTTTACAAGTTGGGGGTTATGAAGATTTATTTTACTTTCTGACATACCACTCATCTTATTTCTGATTTGTTTTCCATTTTCATAATCAACTATTTGAAACAGTATCATAGCTCTGTAACTTTACCCCATATCATCACACTATACAGTGGTGTTTTAATTAATCTACCTTTCTTTGTACATTATATAAGTTATTACACTGTAATCTTGTTAAAATATGGACAAATATAATTGTTTTCTTTCTATCTTATTTTGTCCTCCTTTTACAATTAGGATGTGCTTCTGATCTCCATTAATCCAGATTTAATTTACACACTGCAAACTTTATTTCCATATGAAGAAATAGTTTTCCTATCGTAACACAAATAAGCCTTAAACAAGCATTTATCAGCACTATTTGATGAGACAAAACATGCCTTACCCTGAACACAAATGTGCTCGGTGTCACCCAGAGCTGCAGAAGAAAGTGGAGGATGAGGAGGCTGAGAACTCCAGACTGCAGCGTCTCTACAGCAGCATGAAGGGCAGTTATCTCCCCATAGAGATGTGCTTCCCCAATGACACCAACAAGACTGGTAAATCACTACTGTATTGATTGTATTTGTGTTTCTGGAGTTGATTAAGAATATGTAGGAGAAAGACATTACACCACCTCACCAGCGTAGAAGTACCAGACTTTAGATTTCTCTTCTAAGAGTTCTTGACTTGTCATCCCTTGTCCCTTGTCATCTCTCAAGCCTAGTGAATTAAAGCCCTTGGGGTATAAATCAGAAAATTCAGATTTCTCTTGGCACCCATCTTTACCCCATCTCAGTCAACCTTCTACCAATCCCATGGATGCCACCAATGTGACTACCCATGGTTCATTTGTAGAAGAGTTCTGATTGGGTAGTTAACATGGCATCAAAGCTTGGTATGAATCTTTCATCTGCAACACCTATGAGACAGCTGTGTTTACCTTCTGAAATACTGTAGGATAGGATGTACAATCAGCATCTGCCAACAATGCATTGACCATTTTTTGTACTTTGTACGTCTGCTCAGACGGACTTTATGCTCACTAACTTAATATTCTTTTATTTCAGTCAGTCGTGTGTTTGCTGAATATTCACGTGAGTTGGTTTTGGTTGGAGCACTTTTATTTTATTTAGCTTCATCAAGTCAGGTTTTACATCAGTATTTGTTCAAACCAAAAGTAAATTATAGTAGATTCACAGGAATGGTAGCAGTAGATGTTTCTTGCCAGATAAGTAAATTTCAAATTATGTTAAGAAAAGTAAGCCACAAATACAGAACAATATTTGAAGTGTTTATTAATATACTGATTAATAAGTACAGATTTTCTTACCAACAGGAAAGGAAGGAGTTGTCCCAATACCAGGTAATTAAAAATTTCTATCAAGTAATTACAGTTAGTATCTACTGCTGTCTTGAAGTTCTTTTTCTAGAAAGGATTAGTTAATTATTTTGAATATAATTCATAGCACCCAATTTAATGGCTTTCAATGTGTACAATACATACAGTGCATCTTATAGATTAATACCAATAAAAGATGGATTAGACTAGTTTAATACATTTATTTAGAAAAATGTGGAAATTAAGAGTCAAAATAAAATGTTTAATGTGTTTTAAATACTTAAAAAGGCTTTAAGGCATTTTGGTTATCTTTGAAACTCATTGAGATAGTAGCTACTCCAAATGTTTGTATGAGGTTTGAGTTTACTTTTCTAATAGCAAAAATTCTAGTATTAGAGTTAATTAGTAATATTAGAGTTGTATGACATGGTTAAATTAGAGCTTTACATTTTCTATAGGAAAACACAATGTTATTGACTTTGAAATTTAGACTAAGTTTTATGACAGAAGCAGGCTAGATTGTGTCAATGAATTATATAAAGTCACAGAAGACAAATGATTGATCTTCCCTTTTTTCCCCAGTGTGGAAGTGGCTTCATGAGGCTTCAGGTACAGGTTAACAATTACCTCTCTGTCACGAACAGTTCTTTTCGGACCCTACGCGGACGACACAATCCGGAATAGTGAGAAAACATGGGGGGAAAAGTCATGCAGGAGACGGGAATAAAGACAGGGGG